GGACAAAAAATCTAAAAAATATTTTGTCTCAGGATTTTGATGCAGAATGGTGGAGAATCGATCCAGAAATCGATTAAGGTACTCCGCTTGAGAATCGGATGAGAATTGGGGAAGATATAGCCATCAGTGTGGGCCGTACAGGGGTAAATCCCATTTTCAAGGGATCCCATCACGAAAATGGACAAAAAATCTAAAAAATATTTTGTCTCAGGGTTTTGATGCAGAATGGTGGAGAATCGATTCAGAAATCGTTTAAGGTACTCCGCTTGAGAATCGGATGAGAATTGGGGAAGATATAGCCATCACTGTGGGCCCTATAGGGGTAAATCCCATTTTCAAGGGATCCCATCACGAAAATGGAAAAAAAATCTAAAAAATATTTTGTCTCAGGGTTTTAATGCAGAATGGTGGAGAATCGATCCAGAAATCGTTTAAGGTACTCCGCTTGAGAATCGGATGAGAATTGGGGAAGATATAGCCATCACTGTGGGCCCTATAGGGGTAAATCATATTTTCAAGGGATCCCATCACAAAAATGGGCAAAAAATCTAAAAAATATTTTGTCTCAGGATTTTGATGCAGAATGGTGGAGAATCGATCCAGAAATCGATTAAGGTACTCCGCTTGAGAATCGGATGAGAATTGGGGAAGATATAGCCATCACTGTGGGCCCTATAGGGGAATCCCATCCCATTTCAAGGGATCCCATCACGAAAATGGACAAAAAATCTAAAAAATATTTTGTCTCAGGATTTTGATGCAGAATGGTGGAGAATCGATCCAGAAATCGTTTAAGGTACTCCGCTTGAGAATCGGATGAGAATTGGGGAAGATATAGCCATCACTGTGGGCCCTATAGGGGAAAACCGTATTTTCAAGGAACCCATCACAAAAATGGGCAAAAAATCTAAAAAATATTTTGTCTCAGGATTTTGATGCAGAATGGTGGAGAATCGATCCAGAAATCGTTTAAGGTACTCCGCTTGAGAATCGGATGAGAATTGGGGAAGATATAGCCATCACTGTGGGCCCTAGAGGGGTAAATCATATTTTCAAGGGATCCCATCACAAAAATGGGCAAAAAATCTAAAAAATATTTTGTCTCAGGATTTTGATGCAGAATGATGGAGAATCGATCCAGAAATCGTTTAAGGTACTCCGCTTGAGAATCGGATGAGAATTGGGGAAGATATAGCCATCACTGTGGGCCCTATAGGGGTAAATCCCATTTTCAAGGGATCCCATCACAAAAATGGGCAAAAAATCTAAAAAATATTTTGTCTCAGGATTTTGATGTACAATGGTGGAGAATCGATCCAGAAATCGTTTAAGGTACTCCGCTTGAGAATCGGATGAGAATTGGGGAAGATATAGCCATCACTGTGGGCCCTATAGGGGAATCCCATCCCATTTCAAGGGATCCCATCACGAAAATGGACAAAAAATCTAAAAAAATATTTTGTCTCAGGATTTTGATGCAGAATGGTGGAGAATCGATCCAGAAATCGTTTAAGGTACTCCGCTTGAGAATCGGATGAGAATTGGGGAAGATATAGCCATCACTGTGGGCCCTATAGGGGAAAACCGTATTTTCAAGGAACCCATCACAAAAATGGGCAAAAAATCTAAAAAATATTTTGTCTCAGGATTTTGATGCAGAATGGTGGAGAATCGATCCAGAAATCGTTTAAGGTACTCCGCTTGAGAATTGGGGAAGATATAGCCATCACTGTGGGCCCTATAGGGGAAAACCGTATTTTCAAGGAACCCATCACAAAAATGGGCAAAAAATCTAAAAAATATTTTGTCTCAGGATTTTGATGCAGAATGGTGGAGAATCGATCCAGAAATCGTTTAAGGTACTCCGCTTGAGAATCGGATGAGAATTGGGGAAGATATAGCCATCACTGTGGGCCCTATAGGGGTAAATCCCATTTTCAAGGGATCCCATCACGAAAATGGACAAAAAATCTAAAAAATATTTTGTCTCAGGGTTTTGATGCAGAATGGTGGAGAATCGATTCAGAAATCGTTTAAGGTACTCCGCTTGAGAATCGGATGAGAATTGGGGAAGATATAGCCATCACTGTGGGCCCTATAGGGGTAAATCCCATTTTCAAGGGATCCCATCACAAAAATGGGCAAAAAATCTAAAAAATATTTTGTCTCAGGATTTCGATGTACAATGGTGGAGAATCGATCCAGAAATCGTTTAAGGTACTCCGCTTGAGAATCGGCTTAAAATAATATTTCTTGTTAGACGTGATTTAAATTGAAACACACTTTAATAATTTTTTAATTTACTCATTAACCTCAATATTTATTTTCCATTTATGACTATAATTATACTTAAACTTAATAAATAAATTGAATTTGTATGGCAACTGCCTCTGTGGGGTCTTCATGACTGGCCTGAAATATTTTTCATGGCTTAAATAAGTTACATACAATACACCGGGTATACTGTACAGTGTGTATTCAATAAAATGATTTGTGTGATACATAAAAAAGTACGCATACCGAAATGGCGTTGGCTATTTATGCTCCAGCACATTGCAGCTGGTCTGCTCAAACGCCACGCCCCCCTAACGCCTCTTTCGGACCCTAGAGGGATCCTGGAAGTATGGCGGATATATATATAAAATATATATGTGTATCCTATGGGGTAGGATAGGGAGTTGCACCCGACACTCGCCAACACTTTAGGGCGAGAATTTATGACTGCTTTTTTCAGCTGCAGGTATGCGCTTTTCCGGCCAAGCACTTAATTGATGTTGTGTCGCGTAAATTATAAACAAAACAAAAATTAAAGTGGACTCCATGCTGCTCCTTGGCTTTGGCTTTGGAAGCTCGCAAGCTACGCTGGCGGATGCGGAAATGCTTTCATTGCAAGTGGTGGTCCTGGTGGTCGTAGTGGTGGAGAGGAGATGCCATAAAAAAGGGACAACGCACCGCCATTGGCCCACACACGCTGCCGCGTTGTTCTCCTCTCCCTGGCGGATACAAGCGCACACATCCTGACCATCCGTGGTATCCTTGGTGGCATCGCATCCCGGCCAAGTTAGCAGCTTTGGTCAAGAGGCTAAGCAGGCCGCTGTGAGTGAGGTCAAGCATGAAAGTGCCGCTACCGGATGTCCATCTGACTCCAAACCATTTCCCCAAAAAAACCACCTGCCCTGCCCGCACTCTCCATCCCTCTTGCAACTTGCAACGCGCATAAATTTTCGCCTTTTTGCATCGCAAAGGGTCCTCGAAAATGGAGGCTACCAGGCGGGGATCGCCCAGTCATCCATGTGTGGCATCTAATATGGTCTCCTCCACCAGTTGCTGGTCTCATAAAATCTATGGTTGCATGACAGGCAAGCCTTTCGATAATAATTAGATAAAAATTATATTTATAATTAAATAAATAGACAAGGGTTTATGGTCATTGATGGCTGTTGTAGGAAATTTCATGCTAGGAAAGAAAATAGTTTCAGATATGAAGAGGAAGTTAAAGATTCATAAACTTTGGAGTAACATCAGATCAGTACCTACATACCAACCTATCATATAACCTTTCAAACATGTTTTTGAAATATTTTTCTACCTTTTTATTTGAAACCAATATCTTACCAGTTACCATAATATTTGGTAAACTTAATCCCCCTTTATTGAAGTTTACCGATTTGGTTTGTCATTTCCACAAAATTGACTTTGTCTCGGTCGGTTTCCATGGCCGTTTCCATTTTCATTTCCATTTGGACTTGGAGCTCCTCCATTCAATTCCATTCCCGTACTCCATCAGGCCGGACCGACCGATTTCAAAAAGTGATTAAATTTAACAGGCAACGAGTTAAACTCGGAAATCAGAAATTATATGCAATGCGAAGGACAATTGCCAGTGGAGGACATAAAACAAAACAGCGGGCAAAAATGCGGGGCGAGGCAACAGTAGCAGCAGGAGCAGAAGGCGTTGCCAGCGACAGGATGCGGAAAGCATGAACGGACGAATGGAAGGATGGAGGTATCCATGTAAGGACACTGACTGCGACTACTCAAAATCTGTGCGTCTGCACGCATTACAAACGAATTACGAGACTCGTTGGGCAATTGCAGTTCATTGTTATTTAATATCGTCGGCAGGACGAGTGGAGAATCAGTATCAGGAGTTGTAGTACCAGGAGCTGAAACGAAACGGAACGAAACGAAACGAGAACACGACTGTGAAATTATACTTTATGCAGCCAGGACACTGGATTGCAGGATATGGAAGCAGAGCCAAACAGAAGCAGACGGCATGACACTGATTGCGATATAAACGATTGTCAACGTATCCAAGTGGATTATTACCTCATGCCAATTATCATATCAACGATACACAGGCCCAGGACACGGGAAATGGCCGTACACATGCACACACACACACACTCGCAACGCAGGACAAGCCAGGACATGGCACATTGGCTGACAAGTGGCAGGCAGCCATGGGTTGGTGGGGGGCCAGGAGGGAGCTTTGGGCCAACCAATGAACCAACCCGAACCACCCATCGCCCACACACACACACTTGACGAGGCGTTGATGGTGTCGGCATCTGGCAGCTCATCCTTCTGCCTCTCTGGCTCCTGCACCGCCATCTTCATTCCACCATCCAGAGTCCTGGCCAAATTGCATGTACAATTTTAAATGGATTTTGATTGTTTATGACAATTCGACGAGCTGACTGGCCAGGCCGCTGCTGGCCACTGATAATACGGCATTTAAATGATGATGACCACCTGAAAGCCCCGTGTCCAGTCGCATCCTTCCCGCTCCTTTTGACGGGCAATGGGCAGCAGCACACTGCAATTTGTAAAATTAAGCCCAAGTATTTGCATAGCATGTCTGTTATAAATTAAATATTTTAAAGGATTTTCCAATCGATTTTGAAAGAGCTTGTGGTCCTAAAAGGATGAAATCTAGGACCATATCCTCAAATAAATCTCCTATGCACTCCCTAGTTTTTTTAATCAAAAAAATCTTTCGAAATGTTAAAAATTATTGGTAACCAGAAATTAAAACAAAGCCGACACCTTTGACATGATGAACCCGTGGATCAGGGGACTGATTCGGTGGAAAGGAGTTCGCAACCAATCGCGACCTTACGGAGCCAAAAAGGACTCACCCCGGTCCAATCCGGTGGAGCAGAAAACGCCAAGGCCTTTTCCATCCGGGGGATTATTGAGGAGTAAGAAATTCTACGGATGCACCATTTTCCTGGGCACCGTTTTTAGTGCCGTGCTGTGGGCCGTGTACGAGTTGGGGAAACCGGACGAGGACCATCGTGGCCCCCTCGAGGATCAGTTCAGCCACCTGCCCTGGCTCAGACAGTACGTGTTGAGGATGTGGCACTCACTTCAGTATTACCAGAAGATGGTCGAAGAACCGCTGCAAGGGAAGCTTCTGCCCGATGTCCTGCCTCCACCGTACATACAACCGCCCTACTCCCTCGTCCTGGAGATCAAGGATGTACTAGTGCATCCGGACTGGACCTATCAAACGGGCTGGCGATTCAAGAAGCGACCTGGCGTGGATTACTTTCTGCAGCAGTGCAGCCGCAACTTTGAGATCGTGGTCTATACTTCAGAGCAGGGAATGATGGCCTTTCCATTGCTGGATGCCCTCGATCCTTACGGCTATATCAAGTACCGCCTGGTCCGGGGATCCACTGAAGTTGTGGAGGGGCAACACATTAAAAACCTGGACCACCTGAACAGGGATCTAAGTCGAGTGATTGTTGTGGACTGCGATGCCAATGCCACGCCCCTGCATCCGAACAACATATTCCTGATGACGCAGTGGCTGGGGAATGACGATGATGTCCAGCTTTTTGATCTCACAGCCTTCCTTCAGCTGCTGGCCGAGCATCAGGTGACGGATGTGCGGGAGGTCCTTCAGTACTATCGCCAGTTTGATGATCCCATCGAACAGTTTAAGGACAACCAACGACGGCTGCAGGAGCAGCACCAGGAGAACGAGGATAGTAGGGTTAACAACAGGAATCAGAGGCAGTGGACTCTCAGCTTGATGGGACGATCCTTTCGTGGCTCATGAATTATTTTCTCTTCGTTTAGGCATTTTTTAATTAAATTATCATTGTCATTGTGTGTGTGTGAAAAATTTTAAAAATAATTCAAAAAAATGTATATAAATTATTGAATACAGAATCGATTACTAAGAACGAAATATGTTATTTGTTTAAGTACTATCACAAGCATAGTTCAAGCTGTTTTTTCTGAACTGGTTTTGTTAAATTTTTTTGGGAAAACGCTACATATCATTTTAATGTCAAAACCTGGGAAAGTTCACTCATACCAGACATATCTTCAGTCAGAACTAGTCACAAATATAATATCCTCTTAAAATTATATTTTCTAAAAATGAATACTCAAAAGAAAGGATACAAGTTTATGCCTCATCAAATGACCAAGCGTAGTGCTTTCCGTAGATCACGAGCTAACAAAGATTATCCTTTGGATTCGATAATGGCCATATCGTTACCGTCACCACAAGTCTTTAAGACTGCGTCGCCTGATCTGAAATGGACAACCATGTCCCACAATGGACCATTATTTGCAGATCCCTATAGACCACTTCCAAAAGATGTGGCTCTCCTTTATGAAAATATGAGGTTGGACCTCAACCCATCGGCCGAGGAGTTGGCAACTTTATATGCCAAATACATGAACACGGAAGCTGTTGTAACTGAGACTTTCAATGTTAACTTCTTCAGAGATTTTCAGAGACACTTGTCCCGTGATCTGCGAGCTCGCATTGATTCCTTCGAGTTCTTTGATTTTTCAATGATTTGTTCCCATTTTGAAAATCTGGACAGAATTAGGGTAAAACTAATGACACCTATGATGCAAGAACGCCACGGCTATTGTTTAATTGATGGCAAGAGGCGCAGAGTCAAACAATTTACAATCGATGGACCAAGCCTACATAGTCGTATAGGGCCAAAATACGGGATGGTTAAACCTCGAGTTATGCCTGAGGATGTGATTATTAATTCGCAAGAAAACGAAGCACCAAAACCGCCCGATGGCCACAGTTGGAAAAGTATAATTCATGATCGCAGTGTGAATTGGTTGTGGTCCTGGACGGATGTTATTTCGGGGCGGATACATTATGCGCGTGCCACAAAGATTGAACATACAGTCACTTGTCGTCGAAGGGATCTGGACAAAGCCCGTAGGCTTCAAAGTCGGATAGAAAATATCCGTAGACATTCCCGTCAAAAATGGAGTTCTGAGAGTTGTTTTGAACGCCAAAGGTCGGTGGCCATTTATTTTATAGATCACCTGGGCTTCCAGGTCTTTTCAGACTCTGAAGATAATCCAAAAACTGCTTCTGTTTGCAATTTGCGTGTAAAGGATCTCGTCATGGCTAAACATGGTACAGGTGTGAAAAACACTTTTAAACTTAAAAACGAACATTTCAACAAAAACTTTGTGGTGCACCCAAATATTTTAAAAAGTATCCATGACTTTCTAAACGAAAAAGATGAAAATTTTAAAGTTTTTGATGAACTGTCCTCCCACGACTTGAACGACTATTTAGAAAGCCTAATGGATGAATTGACTCCAGAAATTTTTTGGATTTGCAATGCTTGTACATTTTTGCAATATAACCTGAAGAAATTTCCAGCTAACAAACCATTAAAAGCACATGTGCAACACTATCAAAAAGTTCTGGAGAAAATTTACAATTACTTCAATCACAAGGATGGAAAATCCTTGAGCTACTTACATTCATCACTAAATATGAGTTCGAGTGCCCAACGCATTAGAGAGATCTCAAGAAGAAACTATTCTCAAGACGATTCCACTAGTTCTGATGATTCATTTGGTTCCATACCAATTTCCCAGACAAAGTCAAATGTTTCAATTAATAGACGCACTAACCCATTCAGAACAAACAAACAGAAGATTATTATGTATTCCACACTAGTATTTTTAGACCCACGTATCACTATTGCTTGGTGCATCGACCGAAACATACCTATCAAGGAAATATACCCTACACATTCAATCCGTCAAGCAATACGATGGGCTTTGTCTACCAATAAAAATTATATATTTTGAACATTTTGTAATTTGGTTTTTTGTTAAATGCTTGTTTAGCATAAAAATTTAAAGTGTTTTCGGCTGTTATTTCCTGTAAGCAGTTTTCAGGAAAATTCGTTAGACCCTCAAGTAAGTTGGTGAATATCGCTTTCTTTTTTGGGGTCCCTGGGGCGTCGCATGCAAATCTACTTTATGGAGAAAGTGGAAGGGAAAGTTATGCAAGCGTTGAGAATTGCGTGTGCCCAGGACTTAAATCGCCGCCAAAAAAAAAACACAGGACTCTACGGGAATTGAACTCGAATTTTTATTCCTTTTTTCGGGGAGAGCAACATGTGCGATTTTAATTTTTAACAAGCCAGGTGACTTGACATTTTCCAAAGCGTTGGCTTGATGGAATCAGCGAGGCTCACAAAATGAAAAGCCGACGAAAAACTAATTTTGATTTTAATTAAATATTTATGACTCCAAGGGAGCGCCGATGCCGCGGCAATCAGGGGATTGAAGACAATGTAAGCCGGAGCCGGGAAACGAAAATCCACTAATAAAATAAGCAAATATTGTGGCGAATAACTTCTGCTTATCAGTCAGAGATGTGCCAGGCAGCGGTGAGAAAATTAGAGAATTATCCCCAGAGACTTGCAGACTCAGGTTGCGTGTCCAATTCGGGAAAAAGGAGAAACCCTTCCCGTCCTCCCATTGCCCTATGACCCAAATGGACCAGTGGAGATGGGGTGATGGTGCCGTTTATTCGATCAAAAGTTACGAGCTCATCTTAGATTGGACATTAAATGGACACTAAAATATTTTCCATCTGCACGCAAGGCCTTTACCAACAAAAAAAAAAAAGCAGTAAGGAGAGGAGACAAGAGAAGACCCGAAACAGGGTTGGAACAAGCGAAATAAATGTCATGAAACAACTCATTGACAGGCACATAAGGACACTGGTTTTATGGTCCACAGATATGACCAAAATATATGATTACCATGTGTCCGGCAGCATGCAAGCTCGTAAATAGGCATTTTCCCTGCTTTAGTTCTCATGGACACATCATCTCCCAACCAGTAGCCCATTCACCCATCCACCCAACCATTGAGAATCCACCCCCCTTGGACAACTGGTGACTATTTCGGGGGCCCTCTTGTACATTTTTTTTCGCCGCCCAACCCATGATTTTTGTTGCTTCGTTTCATTCGGTTGGTTATTTAGCAAGTGATCCAGGTGGGACTGCCACAGGACTTCCAACTGGACTGGACAGGACTGTCACAGGCCGTGCTGCAGTCGTAAAAATCAAAATAAAATGAAACTTATGCGTGATGTTTTGGGCCGATGGTCTCATTGGATTTTTGTTAGCCTTTCTCTACGTTTTTATGCTCGGGGTCACTTGTTCGCATTACTAATGATAGGTTTTACATTTAAATGGAATCCACTGAAATGGCTACCCCCCGTAGCACTAAGGTTCACTTTTATGATCTTTCTAATGCACTTGGCATATTTGTATTTACCATTTTATTATATGGGGCTAACGCTCTTAGGGAAGAGCTTGGCATTGAAGAAAGTGTTGCCTACTTATATGGGCTGGTAAGCTTAAATTACTTTTTTTCTACTATTAGATATAATATTTAATTGAGTTTAAAGAGATAATGATAAGAAAAACGGTGCTTTCCCTAAAATACTCCACTCATGTTTAAAGACAAAATTATTAGACTCCCTGGCAGGATAAGCCTACCCCCACAAAATGCTCAGAAACATTGTTCAATTTATTGAAACCAGATTTAGCCCCGACATTTGATTGCAAATTAACCAATGAATGGAAAACATTGCAATGCGCCTATATCGCGTGTCAAAGATCTACAAAACAGCCTGCCCGGCGTTAGGAACAGTGGTAGGCAGCCGTGAATGATGCCCCACAGGCTATAGCATCTGGTCCGGTACGGGTTCCTGAGTGAGCCTCTTCATTTTCGTATAAATTCGACATTTATGCAGTCGGCAGCCCAGAGGAGTGTATGCTGATTTCATCTCATCTCGTTCCGGAGTTACGTGAGCTGATTACGTTAGTCACGCGCGATTGCCGAGGGAGGTCCAGGTCCTGGCCAGTGCGCCTCCCCCAGTGCTCCTTCCTTCAGTTGCTTAGTGGCAAAGTGAAATTGTGCCAACTTGCGACTTGATGAGAATTTCATTCGGTGCTGGATTTTATGACTCTGACTGGATGGTCCGAGGGAGGAGTGGACCCAAAGTGTTGGGTCTAGGAGTTCCACTAAATGATTTTGCATTATTTGTCGATTCCAGTCCTTGCGGCTTCTTCGGATTCGGCTCGTTGCCTGCCATAAAAAGTCAATGCATGCGAAATGTTTTCGTGACACGCTCAAACTACTCTCTGAATCGGATTCGGAATCGGAATCGGGTTTCGTTACCTCGGCCAGTTCCAGTTGGTTTATTTGTTTATTCATCGAATGGGGGCGAAAATCGTAAAAATTATGCTGATGACTCATCAGTAAATGGCATTTATTTTATTGCCAGTCGAGCGTCCTTTGTCACCTTTTGCTCTGGCTGCCATTCTAGCTTTCTGGCCACCACATCTTCAATTATGACCCAGCCAGGTCACCAGACTCCAGCCTCCAGCCTGATGATGATTCCAATTCCACTTGATGTCCGGACTATGAATGAGTTTCTATTTGTATTATTAATGATTTCTTTGGCCGGTCACAAGGTGTGGTTATCACAATCAACTTGACCTCTGGTTTCAGATCCAAGAAAAAATTTATTTAAAATTTAAAATGTTTTCATCTTCATTTTAAAACTAAGATTTTCTAAATTTTGTTGTAATCATATTTTTATTTTTAAGAGAATAGGATTTAACAGTTTTACAAATTATGCCCACAGTCCTATAGTCCCATAGTCCAAGTCCACTTGAATTGGTCGACAACCGCACTCAAAATTTGATTGGATTAGAACAGGCTTTTGGCGGTGCACAAATTGTTGATGTTTGTTTCCCCCAGATGCGGTTGGTGTCAGCCAGGCACTGCAGCTTTTCCTCTTCCAAATCTGTATCAATCGCAACCTGGTCCCATTCTCTTCCTCTGGACTGCTGACAACCACCAATTTTCCGTCTATTCCAGAGGCATGGGTGATTACTGCATTTGTTTGTTTTGGTCAACGGGCTTGAAATTAGAAAAGGGTAACTTTTTGTTTCCTGAAAAAATATCTTTAAATTTAGGCAAATGTTTCAATGATAACAAGTAATTTAAAATGTTTTAGTATTTATTAAAAACAATTATAAAACGTCCAGGATTAAAATTAGTAAAATTTAATGTAAAATCTTAAATTGTAACTGAATCCACGGTAGGTTGGTTGAAATATACAAGTTTCTGGTTATGGGGGGTGTCCAAAGTCTTCTAGGTGCTATAAAAAAAATATAATTTAAGTCTTAATATAAGATGTAAAATAAAACTTTAAATTTACCTTAAGTTTCGATATATTTAAAACTAGAAAGTGTTTGATGTATGAAGGCAGGTAAGGTCCAATCTCCAACCTTAAGGTTACTAAAAAAGATATTGACTCCCATCTATGCCATCTTTAAACCATGACTGCTTAAAATATAACAATAAACGTAATAGTGTGACAAGGTACCTAAAAAAAAATATTACATTTAATGATCATAATTTTAATCAAAGCTTAAATAAAACTTACTTAAAGGCCTTCCATGGTGAAGTGTTGGGTGATGTGGAAAGTAGATAGGCTAGCGGGTTGGTGTCCAATTTTGTACAAGCTGCAAGGAATAACTAGGAGTTATTAATGCTGTATTTTAAAAGAATTAACACACACCTACCTGTTTCGGGAAAAGTGTTTGAATAATGTGCAAAGTGAGTAAAGCCGACCGACCTCCTGACAACTTCCAATTAGAACGACATATGCGTTGTAAGTACAAGAAAAGCTCCGCAGTAAGCAAAAGTCGTGAGGAGGTCGGGACGGAGGTACTCACTTTGCACATTAGGGCATTGGCTCTAAGGACAATATGGAAATGTTACTACTTGACAATTGCTTAGTTACTACTGCCAAACTTCAGATCCTTAAAAATAGTGGTAAATGGAACTGAAAATATATATAAATTTTATTGAAGTTCTTGTTAAACTATTAAGGAACTTACCCAATGATGAGATGTTAATGTTAACCTTAAAATTGTGTAAGTCGCGCAGATTGACCTTTTGCTCATCCTCTTCCGGAAATTCTTCTGGTGTCGCAGTCGCAGCCGCAGCTAGGTGAGGATCGGCCACCATTGGATCTTCCTCGTCCTCCTCATCCGCCTCACCGCCCCAGTCCTCCGCCTCAATCTCCACACGACTTCTGCTCACTACGGAGCTTTTCTTGTACTTACGTCGCATATGTCGTTCTAATTGGAAGTCGTCGGGATTGGGCGGACGGTCGGTGCGGCATTTCTTGGTGCAAGGGGTAGCGGAGTAAATGAGAGGTACGTGGGTGTTCATCCTGGCTAGCTGCGGCTGCGGCAGCGACTGAGAGGGCACCTTGACGCTATCCAACTGCCCACCAGACGGCCCGTCCAGCTCCTGGATTTCTTTATCAATTGACTGCACTTTTTCCATGTCGTTCTGACCCAGGGCCTGGTCACGTTCCATAAATAAACATACTTTTTTGTATGCTAGGGTCACCCGCTTTGGGGCAGTCTGTCGCTTAGACTGTATCAGCTTCACAACATCTTCCTCTGTAAACTCGTACTGCATTGCATTTACGATGTCCTCCTGCTTCTTGGCTATCTCGGAGAGGAGGGGCAAGAATTTTAGATCGCATTGCCAGGTCCCACTCCACATGTAGAATTCGTCCTGAGTAACTGGCTGATTGGACACCACATCCATCGAAGATGGGCACTCTTGAACGCCGTACCGCAAGTGGAGAATGAGATTGGTGCTTTTACCACCCAGCCGGTAAACCTTTCTATCCTGATGCAGACCGACGATCTGGTAGATGCGGTTCACGTTCGCCAAACCCACGAAACCAATGTTGACTCGCACAAAGCAACCGGTAACCGTCTTCTCAAAGATTGGCTTGTCTAAAAGGCTTTCCAGTTGGCTGCGTGTCAAGATGGCCTGGCTTAGCTGCTCTCGAGTGGTGACCACAGGCTCGTCGCTGGCGTTGCTGCTTCCCCTAGGGGACTGTTCAGGCGACCTGGAGCTGACATCACTATTGCTGCTCGACGAGTCGTCCGAATATACATCTATGGCCTTTAACTTTACCTTGTGATTCTTCTTCAACGGCTCGGGATTTTCCTGCTGTTCGTCAATGGGCTCATGTTGGTCCGAATGAGCCTCGTGGCCCTTTAGCTTCACTTTGCGAATCTTTTTTGATGGCACGGGCTCTTCCGGCTGATCATCAACAGGCTCGACCCACTTTTCCTTGGTCTTATTGCTACGTTCTAAAGCGTTCGCTTTCGTGTTTCCAGCACGCTGGGTAGCGAGTAGCTGACGACGGATATGAGAGCGCTCCTTCACGCCAGGATCCGCCTCAATAGCAACAGAAACTTCACGCTCCTTTGCCAATTGGCATCGGATGTACCACTTGCGCTGCAATTCCTCGCGTCGGATGCTTCTTTGATACAGCTCCTTTTCTCTCTCCAGCTCGTTCATGGCCTGGAGACGGGCGCGGTCCTCAGCATCGCCCATCAACTGATCATCGTAGCCATCATTGAAGGCCTCTACGGTAAGGTTCTTCACGGCTTCTCCCATGTCCAATATTTCCCCATCTTCCAAGTCCTCGACCGGGGATAGCACGGGACTGCAGTTGCGTTCTAGCAAGTTCGACATCTAAGTTAATTAACAATAAAAATTAAAATAAAATAATAATAATTAAGCAATTATAATTAACAATTTTTCGAACATTTTCTTACCATGAATTACGTGAAATTCGGATTTGTTTTCCAAGTTTTTACAATTGAAACCAAATATTGTTTTTCAAGAAACGCTAATTTTTCGAAAAAAAAACTTTTAATAAAAGTTTGCAAATTTTTTTAATTAGACTTTACCGAATTAAACCAATTTAATTTCGCCAATTTTTTTTTATTTAATATTTTTTTCACGACTTTTGTTCAGGACAATTAATTCACCAATTAATTCTTTTTATTTATTCCTACCAATAGGTCTTTTCGCTACCACGTCTGGGATCGGAATGAATGTTGCTGGTGCCCCACGGGCTTAGGTACTCTTGGAATAAAAACGAAATGATTCCATGGCACACTTGATTGAAAAAAGTCCTAAATTCTAGATACTCAAAGCTATAAAAATTCAGATCAAAGTAGGCCTTATAGTTTTTTTAAGTTATTAATAATTAAGGCAATTATAGTATTGTTAGTAGCTTCCCATTTGTCTTAAATTTGTCTTAAGCCATAACTCATTTGCTGCTTAAGCTCGAATATATATGTATGTTTGTTTCTTTCATTTTCAGTCCAAAATGCCATCAAATTCGGAGCCATAAGCCCGCACAAAATGAACACTGCAGTCCGGTGGAATCGGAGATGAAGGTGGATCCGGATGGGGAACAGGACTCCGTGTGGCTGACCACAATTTCACGTTTGCCTAGCCGTGAACACGTTCAACATGAACGGCGATTAGTTGCATTTGTTTACGAGTATGGATTTCGGATTTGTCTCCGGCTGTGCCAGGTCGCTCCACGGACTACCATTTGCCACGACGACGTTGTTGTAATGGTCCAAGCAGCCGGTAACTTATTGCATCGTGGCGTGCGAGTGGCCAGCGAATCCTCCAAAGGGTAGTGATGAGGGTAGGACTACTGTAACATCTTCAAAGAGTAACAAGTTTTAGTTATAAAAATATTTATAAAAATTAAAGACTTTTTTAATTAAAATATATTTTTCATATTTATATTTATTTTTCAAACAATAATGTTGGTTTTGGCATCACTGTCGTTGAGAATCTGACCATCAGACAATTGGATGTTCCCAGATCAGGTGTGGGTGGTATCTTTGTCTCTCTCGATATGGATGTGATTTCGTTTTCTTTGCGAGTTTATCCACATTGTAAAGTAGACATTATGTTGATTTCCAACTGAGATCCTGGTCAGCTCCATTGGGCTCGGCACATATCGCACTTGGGACATCTGCCGACGGTGGCGATAATATCCCTGAAATTATTTTCAGTCCGTTCTGGACTTGGCCTTTGTTTTATTGTTATTGTTTCGTTGTGTTGTTGGTCGTTGTGTCGTTGTGTGCCGGCAACTTCGTGACTCTCATTGTTTTTGGGTCTCCGGCAATCCGCATCCAATCCCAGCCAGGACACATTAGTGGAAGATGGACACTTTGGAGCTGTGGGTCTCTCTGGTGAAAGTTATTACATGTTATATCTCGCTTTTTCCAAAAGCTGTTCCACTTGCAATTATACACTTACTCTGTGGCAATGTTAGGTGATTGGGTGGTTGGTTGGTTGGGTGGGTGTGTTTGTTTAGTGGGGTTGCAGGCCCACATGTGTATGTGATTTTCGCATATTGGAGCTGCAAACTAATGGCTTCACTAACGATTGTAACCGTTGGCCTTAATGGCATCCTTTTGGGCATCACGCGCATCCCGTTTAGCCGATTTGTTTTGTCTTTCTACCTTCAGTCCCACATCCACAGCCCACGGTCCATTGGTCATGGGGTTTACTGTATCTATGATGGAATGAAGAGATATCTTTACGAACGAACCTTCCTTTTCTTGGGTCTGTGTACATTTTGATAATTAGAGGGTTTTTTAGTGGGTGGAGAAAAACTTTTATACATAAATTAAAATATTTTTCACTTGAATCATTTAACTATATTTCTAAAATCCCTGTACCTTCTCCCACATTCCTTCATCCATTCCTGTCCACACATCTTGACCAAGCTAGTTGTGGTCAAAATAAAAATCGTACAAATTTATTGTTAATAGAAAAAGGGATCGAACGGATGAGGCACGCACATTAACCCCTTCCATCCCCTTTATCAGATATCTGGTCTTCTGACAATTCCCGACTATTTTCGGAAGGGGGTTGGATGGGTTAACGATGCCTATCTGGTCCAGTCCAAAACCCTGTGGACACTGGACACTCGTAAACATCCTCGTATCATGTGATATCGAAAAATAATCTCACAACGGAAATGGCATATTTAAAAGGCCAAAGGATTCCTGCGATTTAACTTATAAAATCGACGAAGCGGACTCCATGGCCCTGGGGGGAGTCTACCCCCTTGATAGTGGCGAAATCTCATCTCCTGGCCCTCTACCACCACCATCTCCTGGTCGTACTCCACCTCTGTCGTCCTGCGACTGGGAATGCAGCATCTTCCAGCACTTTTTGGGGGGATTTTTAGTGTTTATTGCCTTAGATTAGTTTGTTTATTGTAATCCTCGTTATAAATTAAGCAAAAGTTGCGCTTAAAAACTCATTGGCAGTGCGGGCTAAAAAGGGTTTTATTCCCGGCCGGTCCTACCCGGGCCGGGCCAAGTTGGTCTCCAGTCTCGAGAACTTCTACAGTCGTCCTGGGCCATATTAATTTGCCGCATATTTTGCCCAAGGCGTCGGGCGAACTTAGCGCAGATAATTGCTGCAAATGGTTTACGACCGCAGTCGATAAATGCTGCAGTTTGGTTTTATTTTAAAACAAAGACATTTTATTGGACTGGAATATTTACAGGAAAATATAGATGTTAATAGGGTAATTATTAGGAAAAAGGCTTTAAAAAAAATAACTTAACTTTAAAGGAAAACTTTTTAAGACTGTTTCCATAAAACACAATCCAAACTCCTTAAATGTAGTTACATATATTCTTTGATAACTTAAACCCCACACCCTACCCTATGCAAATTTATTGAAAAATATAGTTCAATCAAAGCTCAGACCGTCTGATATTGCTTATACAAATAATTTAGTTTGGCATAAGTTCCACTAAATATGAAAATTTTGGTCTCATATTTTCCAATATAAGGAAATCTTGTTGAATCGTTGCAGCTGTTGTGTGTTTCCTCATTTCGATTCGCTTCGCCTGACACCGAGATGAGTTTTCATATTGTTATCCGCGGTGGCGGCTGTTCAATAAGGCTGGGAAAGAAACCCAATTTCAGGTGACGGTCTCAGCCCCAAAAAACACAGGTGACGGAGTTAGGGAAAAAGGGAAACAATTTCCGGTGAAGCTTGCATAATATTAAATGTGCTTTTTTGTTTGAAATGACAAAATTCCATTAAGAAATACATTTGTTTGGTTACGATTATATTCATTGTGCCCCTTTATTGCATTTCCAATTCCTTTTTAGCTGTGTTTGGTATTCTGGTGGGTTTCGTCCTTCGAGTGGCAAGTGAGAGTTAGCGCGCTTCTAATTGCATTTTAAAATTGCGACACCATAAAATGTGCTTACGGTATAAATAATTATAACGGCATTTGTCGCAACACTCCTCTGCAACCATTGCAACCAGCCAGGATCTCGAATCGGAGTAAAAAGGCAATGATTTCCAGTGTCAGGACAAAGGGCTGCAGGACGCGAATGAGGCTGCTGCGGCTGAGACTGCTGAGGCAAATGATATTGCGAATACGACGAGTGTGCCGAGGACACTGTTGTCGCATCTCTTGGATATTGCATGAGTTTAGTTTCCCCTTCATCCCAATTCCTATTTTCCATCCAGCCAGCTCTAGACTCCAGCAGCAACAATAAAAGCTGAAAACAACAACGGCGACGCCGACAACGTCATGCGATTAACGTGAGCTGCATATTTTCAGCTAATTTTCTAATTAAAATGGTATTTATGCATTTTTCAGCTGGCAGGATTAAAGATTCAGCATTAAGGGGATTTAGCAAGTAAGGCAGACAAGGACCAAAAGCTCACCTTAATGCTAATGTCTGCCGGGAGGGACAAACCAATTGGGTAAAGAATACAAGGATATAAAATAATAACAAATAAATATAAAATATATGAGAGAGGGAAAAAGTAGGCCATATAGAACAAAAATAACTAGTAGGCTTTAAAAAAACCTTTATGTATCAAGTGTAATATTTTTTCATCATTTTTAGTTTTAATTTTCAGTTACAAGTTACCTCATCTACCTACCAGTATTACCCAAATTATTTAAAACCAAAAAAGAAGTTACAAAAATAAACTAAGTTTTTGGGTATAATTTTACAAAATTTATATTTTTTCATCAAGAAATAATTATTACCACGAAGGTGATTAAAAGTACGATGAGGAGAATATCTTTAATAATTTTCAACCTTTAGATGAGAACATTTCTGGCATACATAGTAGCGATATTTATAAATGTCATCTGCAATACAGCAATATTTGTTAAACTAGATCCTGCATCTTTTGAAAACAAGCCTGTTATTGGAAGCATCATTTTCCATTTGACGGTTTTAGGAAAGCTATGGCACCTCAAACCGATACCCAATCACTTGAAATCCGTCCCATCCTGGGGCCTTGTTATGCTGGAGATTTTGTTCGCCTTGTTTGTGGGCGAGTTCGCCCTGCAGCTTCTATGGCTTCCAGTTGAAAACTTCCTAGATGACATGGTCACGTCGATCATAAGCTTGATTGGAGAGGTTACCCCTGCTAACCGAATAGTGTACGCGGAGATCTGTACTGTTCCCGTAGCCTTAGCTTTTATGGTTTTGGTTGTAAGGATCACTGCCGGACAACGCCGGACACTTGAAAGTTCGTAAAATTTTTAGTGGATTTTATAACGACTGAAAATATAGATCCCTCCACAGTGTGCGGTAGAACTCTTTAGCCGATACATTAAATAGTAAATTAATATATCAGCATTAAATGTATATTACCCGTTTTCCTTTTTTAAATACTGATTCTTTTGGGCTCCTTTAAATGGCCATCTTGTTACTCAACCACTAGACAAGGATAATGCATTGGACAGCTCGCTGTCCAGGCTCTTCTAGCTTGAAGAGCAGTCAAACGCAGCTTGCACCGCACTTGGGATCCCGCATAAATTTGTG